CCCAGCTGTGCCAGCACCAGTCCTCGATTTTAGACGTTTCGTTCTACCCGCCGCAGCCTTCGCCTGCTTTTCCGCAATGAAAGGGGGGAGCGTTTGAACATCATCGTACTCTATTTTTCGTCGATATGACAAAGCAATCGAGTCGCCTGCATTTTTGGCGAATCCTGATGGTAACAGATAATCAGAGCCGAAGAGATCACGGGTTCGTTTCGCGGAATTTCGCACAATTTGATCGGGCCCGGGAGGGGTTGGAGTAATCTCCATAGCCTTTGGTAGCACCTAGGAACGCGATTATATCCGCGATATTTGGAGGAATCTGGGTATGGTTTTCGAAACTGGACGTGGGTGATATCGACGAGGCGTTGCGCGTCCGCAAGATCAAGACCGGTTTTCAGTGTTCCCACAGAACAACCAGCACAAATAGCAATGCGCAGACGTGAAGATAACGGTAGAGTAGGATTTGCCAGGAGATATAATAAGATGGCGGGAAGTTGGAGGGTTAAGTTACTAAATTGATGCTTTCTGTTTCTGCTTCGATTTGAACCTTTGGAAAGCTGGGCTGAGCTTGGACCACATTCTGACTAACCAACGCCAAGCCTCCCGCAGCTCTCTTTTTGACTTCCCCCGCGGTTGATCAGACAAACATCGCTTTGATATGAATGTCCAGTACATATTTTGATGTAAATATCTTGATACACGTTCTGTCTATTTCTCCATATCGCCATGGATCCTGATTATAAGACTAAATACGCCATACATGAGGCTGCCCGGGAAGGACGAAGTATGTCAGTTCTATCTTCTCTTGAAGTGCTCCTTGGATACTGATTAGAGATAGTTTCCACGGCGGAATCGTTGCTTAATGTGAGCTCTAACTATCTGTCCCTCCACCAGGGTGAAATCCAACTGTCAATAAACCACCCTGGTGCACATTCTGAAGAGCGTTGTATAGCTAATGTTGTTCCCCGATCATGTATCCAGGCGAATCCAAAATTGGCATTCCTCAAAGACCCCGATGGCCGCCTTCCCATCCACTGGGCAGTAGCATACAACCATTTTCCGATTGTAGAACTCCTAGTCGGAATGCCAAAGTTCGATCCTGATGAAGTGGTCTGTCACCCTGCTCGGCGATGGAATTGCTCTTTTCGCCCTTCTTTCCCTAAGTGATGTAGAAAACGGAGGCTGACCGAAAAGTTTGTTACCAGGACGCATCAGGATGGACACCGCTGATGATCGCCGCAAGCTTGAAAGACGGCGAAGGAGATCAGATAATTGAACTCTTGCTACGGAAAGATGCAGATGTCAATATAAAAAGCGCTAGCGGTCAAGTCAGCTTTGGTTTTATTATTTTCATTTTCTTCTTCTTCAAGCGTTCTAGCAGCTAACTAAACGCCTTCCGCCCCCAATCGAATCCAGAACGCTCTCCACTTCGCAACCTCGAAAGTCAACGTGTCCACTGTCCGTCTACTCCTAACGCACAAATGCAGCGCAAGGGTGAAGGATAACCGTGGCCAACTAGCCCTGCATCGCGCTGCGGCCGTTGGATCCGTGCCCATTATCAATATGCTATTGCAGGAGGGCAAGAGTCCGCTAAACGCAACGGATGTGGACGGATCGACTGCGCTGCATCATGCTATTGCAGAAGGAAACGGAGAAGCTGCCCTTGTGCTACTGCGGGCTGGTGCGGAGGTAGATAAACGAGATAAGAATGATAAGTTGGCTATTGAACTAGCTCCTGACGTCAAGGTATGTTTTCTTTCCCCTTCTTCTCTGATCTATAATCCTTCAACTCAATGATATGCTGAACATGATACTCTTCCTTGTTTTTATTATTACCCTAGGTGCGGAAATATATATTCGAATCTGCAGAGCGGGAAGGTATTGAGTTATTCCCTTGATACTGCTCGCAAAGCCTCAACTTCTATAGAACGCTGCGTCCCTATCTATATTCTAAATTACGATGACCCTGATGCTATGATGTATGGCATTTAATGTATGATTAATAATTTCATATTTAAACCACATGAAGAGTCTCTACATGGATGATCGACATATATCTACACAACCGCAAAATTCAACCAACAAATCAGGCCACCAGGCCTGTCAGTTAATACGCCCTTCTATATACATAGACATCAAGCCATAGGAAGTATACAAGGCGCCAAATTCCCACCGCACCACATCGCATCCTCCCTACAACAACTGCTCTATTATTCCCCTCTGTCCCTTCCCATCATTTCATCGTGCTATCCACCAACTCCCGATAAATATTCTTCAAATCAGCAATATCCGCCCTCAGCTCCTCTACCAGCTCACTCTTCTCTCCCAGCATCTCCAATGTAGTCTGATATCGCTGATCGAGCTGCTCAACCGTCGTTTCTAGCTCCTGTATCCGCTGGTCCCCTTTTCTCTTCTCCTCTACCTCACGCATCAGTTCCACAACTTCCTGCCGTGCTTCATCGCGCTGCGCAGTTAGACGGGCGATCTCGTCCTTGAACGCAGCCCGTTCACTTTCTAAGCGGCGTATGGAGGTGCTCATGCGCTCGACGAGCTGCACGGAGGGCCCTGCCGCGATAGTGGAGACGGAGATGATATCGTTGACGCCGCGGGAGTGGGCGTGGGTCCCTTGGGCGGATGGAGTGGCTGGGCTACCCATGCCGTTGAAATATTCTTCAGGGTCGTAGGTTTGGGATTGCGTGAGATCGACTGGTGGAATTGAAAGTTCATGAGGGGACGAGGAGGGGAGACGGGGTGGTTGTTGTTGCGGGTTAGAGTTGAGGGAGGAGAGGGAACTTTGACGGTGTGGTGTGGACCGTTCGGGGAGGGCGGCTAGGAGTATTGAGGAGGATCTATGGCTCGGTGCCCGGTCAGACATGGGGCCAGTGGGATCGAGGCCGACCATTGGTTTACGGTTGAAGGCGACCGGTGATCCGGTTCGGGGTTCTTGGAGTAAAGAGGATGACGGTGGCCTGGCGAGTTCTTGCCATCTCGCCCTTTCCTCTTCAAGTCGTTGTGATAATGTTAATTCGGCGGCCTCCTTTTGTTTGGCGAGGTCCTGTTTGGCAATGAGGAAGTCATTCTCTGTTTTCGCGAGTTTGCGGGTTAGGTTTTGAATTTCCTGCTTTGATGCTTCAAGGTTCCTCTCTGTTTCCTGAATGACTTCTCGGGAATTTTCCAGTTCGCCTTCGGTTTTCTTGGCTTTGAAGCTCTGTTGAAATCATGATTAGTGGTTTCATTTCATTCATCGTGAAAAGTTGTACAGTCATACCGCTTCACGGACTTTCCTCCGCAAGTCCCCTTCTCTCCGTTCTAATTCATCCCGCTCTTTTTCGACGGTAGTCAGGCGTGCGAGCAACGATCCTTCAATTCCATGCCAGTTCTCGCTGGCAACAGCGTACTGGGTTTGCAATGTTTCAATCTGGCGGAGGAGTTTTGCATGCGATTCGCCGGTTGCGCTGGACGACACTTCCTCCGCACGGGACCGTAGGCTTTCCATCTTACTTTCGAGTACCGACTGCTCGCCGCGAAGTTCAATTTCGAGGGTTCGGGAGCGTTCTTTCTCCCTCTCAATGCCTTCTTTTAGGTCTCTAATCTCCCTTCGAAGCTTTCCCTCGCTAACCTCTCGTTCTATCTTAGCGCTGGAGAGGTCATCCATAAGTTCAGTCACCCGACGTTTTTCAGCCTCTGTAGACTCAATTTGGGCTTTCCGCTCGGCTGCTTCAGCCTTAGATATAGCTTTTGCTAGTTGAGTCTTAAGTTCCGCTACAGTCGCGTTGGATGCGTTACGTTCTGCAGTCACTGTTTCAAGTTGTTTTTCGACCTTGGATTTGGCATTAAGTCTTTCTACGGCCTTGCGCTCTGCGATTTCCGCTCGATTCGCTCGATCCTCTGAAATTTCTAGGTCCTTCTCGACTTTCTCAAGCCTCTTCTTAGTCTCAGATTGCGACTTCGCATTTTCTGCAATAATTTGTCGTAATTTCTTGATAGTTGCCCGGTGGTCTAGTTCGGTTTTTGAAAGTCTTTGGCCTTCCTCCATTAAGTTTGCAATCTGCTCCTCCTTTTCAAGAAGCTTTTTCTCGAGACTCCCAGCTTCCGCAGACGCTGCAGCTAGTTTAGCGGACTCCGCAGCCTCCTGTGCTAGATACTTTAATTTTGATTGTAAAGCATCTATCCTCTCGACATATGCATGTAGTTCTTCTTGCCATCGGAGTTCTGATGCTTCATGTTCTGTCCTCATTTGCGTCATTGCCTCTTCATGGCCATCTGCGGAGGCTACGGTTGGTTCTGTCACGCCTATTCTAGGGATGGATCCTTCAGGGGCCCCTGAGTCGATAGCCCCATCTTCTGGGAGCCTGGTTTCTCTTTGGTCATCTTGGATAATATGGCCATTAGGCTTCGCGTCCATATCCAAGGTAATATCTTTTGAAGTTCGCGGCGATAGGTGGATATCTTGACTTGATCGAGGCACAGATGACGATATTGACGCACTATCAGATTTCGTAGTACTAGTGTCTCCCCCCGCAGCAACACCATCAAGGCCAGAAAGCGGGCTTGTTGCGCGCGAGGGGGTTTCTGTCGGGGATACAGGGCTCCCAGTGGCGCCTTCTCGTTTAGCCATTGCCCGTGCCAGGCGCTCTTGAAGACGGTCGTTCGCTTTCGCTCTAGATGAGCTCCTAGAAGGTGCTGCGGGACAGGTTAGATAGACTCCATGAAGCGCAGAGACAGCACTGTGGACATGAGTCGCGTACCAGGCGAGACAGGTTTCGCAAATGACATTCCACCCTGCAGCGATGGCTGTCCAGGCTGTTTGCTGCCCTTATCAGCATCCTTAGCCACATCTTCCTCGTCCTGGTCAGCCAGGATCGTGTCCAGCCTAGATTCGACTCCTGCAATTGCCTGCTGGAGGAAACCACCCCATCTTGATTGCTTCGTGGGCTGAGTGTTTGTCGACATGACAGATTGCTCCGCGAACCGGCGTCACAGCTAACTCCGAGGCGCACGTTCGTACCGTACCACAGTCATTGACTGAGGGTGTGTTAAGGCCAGTCTGGCACGTGTTCAGCGGAGTTGCCCAACGATGCGAAACAAGGCGGGCAGGCCACCTGGAGCTTGCAGATCAGCCACCAAACACCCGGGAACAGATATGTGAGCTCGTAATCTTGCAGGGGTATCAAAGCATTCCGAAAGCTCGTATAGCAATAACATCCGGCTCTACCAGAGTGGCATTGTTATGTATACCTAAAAACAGAGAGTCGATGTCGTAAGCCCAGATGAGTTGGGCTCTGGCGGATCTTGGCGCGGTTAGGCCTAGCGCCGCGGCTAGCTCTTAACGTTAGCTGAGCTGGAAGTCATTCCTCTATCATCATCGGTCATCAGGACGAACAACTCCGCTCTGGAAACCACTCCGCCTTGGGGGTTTCGTATCGCCGACTCCTCCCATGTTGTAGTATTCCAACCTACAAGACGTCGTCCAGTGTTTCCTAATTGCCAACGACGATGTCTTTGGATCCGCCTACCTATCTTAGTTCCCTCCAGAACAACATCCGCGCCCGGCCTATACCTTGGGAGGGCGCAGTTCGAGCGGGGAACATCACGGAGGACCAGCTCAAGCGCATCAAGGCGGTTGACAAGGTGCGTAAGGAACCGCGTCAGAAAACAGTGGGAAATGATTTGAAAGCCTATACAACACTACTTGTCGGGGGAAGCAGTGGGAAGAGTATATTGGAGTCCGCATCACGACGGACGGATATAGTACAGTACGTCATGGTACTTGCGGCGGACCTAATCAATGGTACTTATATCTCCATTTTGTAAATAATAAATCTATCTTCCGCTAACCGTAGAACATAGATGTACCCGCTCTAGCATCCTCTCTGATTCAAGAACCAGATCGTTATCGACACTACCTCCCTCTCCTCCAACACTCCTCGAACCCAGAGGACCCTATCCCTCTACTCGCCTCATCCTTCTTAACTAGCCTTGTTTCGACCTCGCTGGTATCGAATACTAAAACCACAATACCCGATTCCGAGGCGCTTCCTCGACTATATTCCTACCTCGCCACGTTGACGATGAGCCAAGATACGGGACTACAAGATATTGGTGTCCAGCAGTACTCCGCATTGTTGAGGACCAAACGATCAAGGGAAATATTTTGGAGCCAGCGGGCTGCAACAGTCGAGCCGTTAATGGATATTCTGCGCGCAGCTGCAGGTTCAAGGGATAACAATAGCTCAACCACAATAGTCGGATCATCAAGCATTCGCACGCTCGACTCAGGCATCGGTGGAGGAGTGGGGCTACAGCTTTTATATCATGTCCTTCTCGTGATTTGGCAGTTGAGCTTCGAAGGAAGCTTGGTCGGCCAAGAACTTGAATCGTACGAAACCTACCATTTATCCCAGAAGCAAGCAAACAACATTTTGTGTATATGGACCGTTTTCACTAAGACCTCTTTTCATTCAGGGAACAAGAAATCCTAGCTCTATACACTCACCTACTTCGCCTTTCACCCAAGGAAAAAACCACCCGCCTCCTCCTAGCAACACTATACAACATTCTCTCCACCAACCGCACCAACCTTCTCCCAGTGGCCGTCTTCCTCCGCCTCCCAGCCCTCCTCACGAATCTCAGGGGCCGCCACCTCTCCGATTCAGATCTTCTCGAAGACCTCAACGCCCTCACAGACATGCTGGAAGACTATACCAAAACGCAAACAACCTTCGACCAATACGCTGTGGAGGTGCAGACTGGCCATCTTCGCTGGTCGCCCCCGCACCGAAATGGAACATTCTGGCGAGAAAATGCGCGCCGCATCCTCGACGAAGACCGCGGCCAGATCCCGAAGAAGTTGGCGGAGATCCTGTCTAAAGATTGGGAGACGGATAAGCAGGTTCTTGCCATTGCATGTAATGATATAGGTTGTCTAGTCAAGGAGGTGCCGGAGAGGCGGCAGCAGTTGGAGAAGCTAGGAATTAAGGCGAGAGTGATGGAGTTGATGGCCGATCCGGATGAGACGGTTCGGTGGGAGAGTTTGAAGGCAGTGGGGGAGTGGTTGCGGTATACATTTGAAGGGTAGAATGGGAGGGTTCTGGTTTCTTTCTCTTTCCTTTTCAACTTTTCTTTTCTTTTCTTTTCTTTTTCTCTTTTGGTTTAATTTAGTCACCCTGTTTTCTTTTTGCTCCATTTCCCCCGTTTCTTCGTCTCGAATTTATTAGAAGCAAGTCCACCGTGGAGCGTGGAATCGTAATTTGAGCGTTGCTGGTGGCTTGGTTGGCTTTTCTCTCTTCCCCTCCTCCTTCTTCTTGACCTTGCGCATGTATGCTGCGAATTTATGACTCTTTGTTCGATTATATGTTGCAGCTGCGCTACTTTCTGTTAACACCATATATATGGGATTCAACTCACTCTTGAATTAGAGTTCTGTACGTCACCCAGATACACCCGCCATATCATGTTATGAGTATGAGCGTTTTTATTCAGGATCCTGGCTTTCATTTGAGTAGGATAGATAAAATATAGCTAAGACGTGCTCTGTTAAGTCTGCTGGACTTGACAACTCCAATAATCAGTCTACACTTGACTGTACAAAAATAATACACGCAATATATGCATTTGAAACGACCATGAGAAAAGGAGTGACAGTAGCCCGAAAATACACAACCGCTCGACCACATACAACAAAGATAGTTTTCTAGTTCATGTATAAAGACGTAAGCCCCCCAAAAGGGGTTACGGCTAATTTATATCATTCCTTGAGCCATTGTAGTAAAAGCATGACCAGTGCTGTCCCGTTCAAACGTGAGAGCAGGGAGAATCCGGAAGCATATTGCTTCATCATCTCATCGTCCCTTTTCTAGACGTCATTCTCTTGAATTTTCCTCACCAGCATTCAGCAAAAAGTCGTATATGATATCAATTGGACCGGCTCGTCTGTTTACGGGTATGTCTTCCAAGGGATCCAGTTGCCCTTGCTATCATGAAACGTAAACGGCATGGACGTGTCCGCTCGTGCCTATTTCCGTCCCAGCCAAGTCGCCTGATTGGGCTTTTCCATGGCAGACTTCAATATCTTGGAATAGTCCTCTACCTCAGACCAGGCTCGAGAGATGTTTTCTCCAGCAAACTCTTGGACTTGTTCATCCGTGGCTTCACGCTTGAGGAGGACCTTGGCTAGCTGTGGATATGCGGATATGTCCTGTTAGAAAGTTAGATGAGCGGGCAAGAATGAATTCAAAAGTTACATTTTGGAGCGGATGGCTTTGTTTTCATACCTCAAAGCCAATGGGAACATCACCCGTGCCATCAAAAACGGAGCCCACTCCAACATTATCTCAGCCTGCGACCTCTGCCACGTGGAAAATATGGTCAGCAGCCATGTGAATATCCGCTGAAGATGGATTCTCGACAACCAGAAACATGGGAACGAATGTGTCCATCACAACGCCGCCATTCTTAGCCACACCACACAAGACAATCCGGCACATTTCTATGGTGCTTTGAGAGGGCATAGGCAGACGAGTGGAAGAAGATGACAGGCGCTTTGGTCTCTGCCAGCACATCAGCCATCGTCTGATACGACACGTGCGACATATCAATTAGCATGCCGATGCGATTCATCTCGTGCGCAAACTCGCGATCAACCCTTTATCTATGCCACTAGCGGCAGCAGTTGACGCTGCCGTCCTAAATGTATTGTCACAGTTATGGGTTACTGTGATGTAGCGGACGCCAAGGTCATACACTTGCCGAAGAGCGGCGAGTGAATTTCCAATTTGATGTCATTCCTGGATGGGAATTAGCCGTCGGGCTGCACAGTTCTTTTTTGGTGTAGATGGAGCCATGGCGCTATATGGGATTGTTTATTTGGACTCGGAGAATGGAAACGAGGGCCGGGATATAACAGGTTATAACTCCATTTGAATAGAACAATGCATCACTATCTTTCCCCCGCGCTGCAATTGAATTATGGGGAAATATTTGTGCGTCTTGATGTTTTGCCGAATGACTTGGAGTAATCCATGTGGGTAGGACCATTGACGTGGACGCCGGTGGAGGCAGGCGTGATGGGAAATGACCTCGGGTATGTCCATCCTCATAAACTCTTGCCACAAATGACATACTAAATCCAATATCTTTCACTCAGATCTCGAGTGTTGGACCTCCGGTATATCTTTAGAGAGCGAACACTGGGATAATTTTCACATTCCAGAGGTTCTACTCTGTACTTATTAACGTCTGGAAAGCATCCACTGGGCCCAGTAACTTCAAGACGGCAGTCGTAGACACCCAGAAGCTACAGGCATTTCTTTGTCCTGATGAAGTGCCAGCAGTAATCTGGTTTGGATCTTTACAGAAATGTGGAAATTTGGCGGAAGGAACATGCTGGACTGATTTATTTAAGGTTATCCGCTAAAAATGAGCTAAAATAAGCCTCCTTTCTGCCACGGTTGGGTTCGAGCAATAAACAACACACACGGAGTCTGCCAGCTCTGATATCCAACGGTTTCGCCGTATCGCGGTTTCAGATACAGCCATTTGTAAGGGCTGAAGCTGGATTTATTCTCGGCTTGTTTCGCCCTATCAGCAACAGTCACAACGTTGCATCGCGCTAACGCAAATCGTTTCTCAGGTCTAGCGCCGCGGTTCTGAGTTTATATGCAAAAATCGCGAAATCAGGGGGTTTTGTAAACCGTTCCATGTAAGGTTGTGTAAGTCATATCCTTCGCTCGCTGCAGCCCGCGCGACCTTGAAAAGGACGGTCCGGGAGAGAGGAAGGAAGACCATGAATGGCCCTTTCTCTCCGTTGTCAGGGGTGGGAACTATAAGGTTTCCTCCCTCGGCTCGGTCTCACTTCCAAAACATAAAGATATCCCTCACACAGGATATAGAAACATACATACACACTCATTTATATACATCCCATATACAACCTAATCCTGCCCCAAAACTCGCAACTTACGCCAATAATACATACAAAATGTCCACCAACACCGACCTCTCAAACCCCAGCCCCGCCCCCACCCCCGCCCCCACCCCCGCCCCCACCCCCGCTCCCAACCCCGCTCCGGCCATCAAGCCAACCCCTCCGCCCCGCCCTCTACCCCCCGACTACCAACTCCGCGACGGCTACCCCAGCGTCCCGGACTACGTCAAACTCCGCAGCACCCCGAATCTAACGCCCAAAACAGCCGAGCAAGGCGCCCTCGCCCTCGCCGGCAGCTGGTTCGGCTGCCACATCGTCCACACGCCCACAAACACCTCAGTCGGCATGGGCCGCATCATCGCCGACGGCGGCTGGTATTTCCACATCGTAGACATGGCCGTGGCCACGGAGCACCAGCGCAAGGGGCTGGGGGATATCATTTTTGCGAGACTGATGGAGCGCATTAGAGAGGTGGCTACGCCGGGGGTGTGGGTGTCGCTCCTGGCGGATCCGCCAGGGAAGAAGTTGTATGCTAAGCATGGCTTGGTGGAAACGGCGCCGGACTCGGTGGGGATGGCGATTATGCTGTAAATTCTTACCCCAGGGTGTTCGTTCGGCTGAGGGTGGCTTGGGTGTTTAGTGTTTAGATGGGTTTGCTGGGTTCTTTATATATGGATTGCAATCGATAGAAATGCGCCCGTTTTCGAGATAGAGGTGGTCTGTTCTTGTCTATTCGAATGACGATGATGATGTTTGTAGCGGTATTAATTGTTTAAGGATGTAATTAGACAAGAATCGGGAGAGAAAGAAAGAAAGAAAAGCTCAAACGGAAGAGCATAAAAAAAAGAAAAAAAGAAAAAAAAAAGAAACTCTCAGGAAAGCATCGATATAACCCCCAAAATACGAAGTCAAACAGTGCGGATGGTAAAAAGACCATCTAGCTAGCATCACCATCTAGAAAGGATAAAATGCATGAAAAAGGTTGTATACAGGAGTCCCCCTTAAGCCAGAGCTGAAGAGTTTGAGTCCGAGGAAAGCTATGCAAAACAGCGAGAGAAGCCCCACTTTTCTTTTAAAAATCATCATCAACATCGTCATCATCAGCTACGTCTTCACCTCGATACTTCTGCCCTCCTCGTTCGCCCGACTTGCGGTTCAGGTTGGACATTTCGTGCTCTTCCGTTGCATTCCTGGCTCCGGACATCGCCATCGCCTGACGCCCGGTGTCTGAAGCTTCGAGGAAGTCGCGTAGTCGTCGTTTGCCCTCCTCCAGCGCCTGATGTGAGGCTGCCTCGGTCATTTTGATGATCGGACCCCAGAGATTCAGCTGATAGGTGACGTACGCGCCAATGGCGCACACGAAAAGGAGGAAGAAGTATGCAGGGTTGCGGAGGACTGGATAACGGACGGATGCATTAGTTTTTTTTGTTCTGTTTTCAAGGTGGTCCGTAATGCTAGAAAGAGATGTCCTGGATTGCTTACCTGCCATGATTTCATTCCAGCCAAGCGCTAGGAGCAAGCCATAAAAGTATAGCGGCACCTGAGTGATGCCTCCGATAGCGCTTCTCTTTGCCTCGACGTACACGCCATCAGCGGTTTTCTTGAACCGAACTATTAAGTCTTGCTTCTTTGCTTCGCCGATCATAGTCATCTCTTCCTCCAGGCTCTTCCCCTCATCTTCATCAACACCTCCAATCGGGGTTAGGTCCTCTTCATCCGCAGGCGTTGCTGAGCTCGGCGTGTGTCCGATCCATTTGTCCAGTGGGGGAGGCGCGTTGGTCTCTGCAAGCCGGAAGCGGGCAAGGAGGGGGATAAGCGTTAGTGTGGATTCCCTAGCTTGTGTATACACACTTTCAATGTCATCGGTCGGGCGCCAAATTCGAGGAACGCCAGCATCGTCGTACCGGAATTTATCTTCGAAGTTCTCGCGGAGTTTTAAGAGGAGATTGCCCTCCATCACTTCCTCTTCGATTTTAGCTCGTAGGACTCCCCAGGATTTTCTTCTTAGTCTCCATAGGCCAACATCTACTTCGTCAAGGCTGGCGTCAAAGCTGCTCGCTCGTTCCGTGAATCTCCTTTCAGCATCAAGGACGGTGTCCACAAAAATAGTCCAGACTCTGTCCCAGATGGTATTCTCTGAGGGCTTGTCGCCGAACTCCGGAGCACCAGAACCACCCCTCCCTGACCCAAGGGCATTAAACTCTAAATCGACCGATTCACCTAGACGCGACCTCACCCACCGCTCAACTCTCGTTGCCAATCGCCGCATTTCATCTCTCCGAAGCTGCCCGCTGATTCTTTCCAAGTCCTTTTGGTATAACGATAACTCCTGTTGGTAATTGCTCCAGGGGGCATCTTCCACAAGCGTAGATCGAGCTTCCTTTTCGAATTTTTCGATCGCTAGCTGCCTTTCCCTACTTACTATCTCAGCAAAATCGTAACTCGCACCTCTCTTCTGGCCCGCCTTCACAGCGGCACTGACAGATTCGCTGAAATCTTGTACCCCGGACCTATGCGCGGCATTAAGTTGGCCAAGGAAAAGTGCCTTGAGCCGTGTGTCGATCTTTTCTTCCAACTCAGACTTTTTCATTTGATACACACGTTTGTGGTACCGGCTAGCCTCAGCGTCAAAATTCTTCACGGCGTTCATTCGCGCATTCCGCATAACCGGGCCCAGTCCACCCAAGACTTGAGGGCTACCAGCCTGCACGGCTTCTGCTTGCTTCG